AGAAGAGCACACCACTGCCAGACAGGAAGCATGGCGCTCAGCCTGACCAGGAGTTGTTCAGATCACAAGATCCAGTTGTAGGATGGGAGCCCAGATCCTGGTTCAGCATGAGGAAGTGGAAGCTGGGGTTGAGCAAAGCATCGTCAGGTATTCAGCTTCCTGTTGTGGAAAGTACCAATGGGGGTCGATTTTTAAATTTTTTTTTTTCAGATTTAGGGGCTCAGAATTTTTTCTGGGCTCTTTTGAATGCCCTCTTTTGTGAATGGGGAGGTATAGCCTTATGTCTCGCCTCTCCTCCTGCTCTGCCAGTCCCCTCTCCCTCAAGCACCTTCCCCTTACTCTTCTCTTCCATAGCACAAGACATGCCACTCAAATCAATTATCCCCTCCACAGGGCATGCCACTCAGATCAATTATTCACCCATAACTGGTCTGCCTTGGACTCACCTTTTCATTCTGCTTACCTGTGGTACATTTTTCAGCTGCATGGGCTGCCAATTTTTGTAACCGAGGAAGCACATAATTTGGCATTTATGGCAGCCGGCTGTGCTATATAACGTAGCCACATCCAAAATGGCAGCACATCATGGGGATTTTAAAAAAAAGTTACATGAAACACCAATGGAAAAATAAAAACAGTACGTGCTATAACACTGTAATAAGTTAATTATTGGTTGTTTGCCAACACATTGACCTTACATTGTATTGGTTGGCCCATATGGCATCCATCCGTTTCCATACTGCATGCACAACTTGGATATCTGCAATCACATTGACGTTGTGTTCCTAATGAATGCATGAAAATGCCTGTTTGTTTAATGCCAGTAAAATAGTATAAAGCACAAGTTTGGAGTGTAATTATGTAAGTAAGAAGCGTGTTTTTTATGTTGTGAAGGGTGATCTAGTAGAGAAACTCATTAATTCTATCCCTTATTTTGTCCCAGTCTAGTTCCTGTATTGGAGAACTGCTTGGCAACTTCTCCAAAGTTAATACAAAAAAAATTTGTTTTTACATAAGACCTATCACCAAGGTAGTTCACCAAGACTTACCAATTACAGAGCTTCTTATTGGATATCATCTACAAAAAATAAAAACCTTATTTTAAAGCTCCTAATTGTTGTAATAAGTAAGTTTATTACACCATTTTAACATTGTGCATTACATATCTCCCTTCCCCTTTGAGAACTGGGAATGGATGTCGTAACATTCTGTGTCAAATGGACCTGCATTAGTTATTGGAATCTGAATGTGAAAAAGTTACCTTTGTCTCATTCATTAACATTTTGTGGGACGTGTAAGGGATTGTGGTAGGTGTTAATTCGATCGTATCTTGTTTTCGCTTTCAGGGCTTCCAGACTCCATGTTGGTAGTTGAAAAGTTGAAAGGACCAGTTCATCAAACCTCAAGGGAATGTGAACAGAAACTTAGAATGAATTAACCACTTTGAGGGATGAAAGATGAGGGCAGTCTTGAAAACACCATGAAGGCAGGAACAGCTCCAGCAGGAGGACAGAACTAATGCAAAAAAAATATATATAGCAGAAATGCACAGGGAGGCAGAGTTTCAGCAGCCATTATTTACTAACAATGTAAAAGCACAAAAGAACCTGGCTGCTGCTCTGTTCCCACAAATAGAGCCTGCTCCTGCACTGCTTTGTGCTGCCCACCAACATATCATCCCCAAAGCAGAGAATACAACTTTTTGGATTGGGACCGACCTCTTTGGCTCTTTCTCAGCTATTCTCCAGACATTCAGCTCTTATTTTTGACATAGGGAAAGGAGAATATTTCTGCAGCCGGACTCCTTTATTAAAATGGAGTTTGATTTTTAGAAAAAAGGCATTGTGTTTTTTTAATGTTGCTAATACTTGATATAATGTAATACACGGTCTCCATTATAACAAATCATTAAAAAAATACATAGCATAAATGTCCTATCTAGTCCTTCATTCCTTATTATACAAGAAAAGATATTTTCAAGGAATTACAAAAAGAAATAAAGCATCAGTCCTTGGTGCCCTCCATTTCAGATCTGTAGAGCATGCTCAACAGAAGTAAAGTTGTTCTGTTTCAGCTGCGTCCACATTATTGGCTGTGAAAAGGCCACTCTAGTCCTTACTGAGCCACTCTAGTCCTTACTGAGCTCTGCTTTTTTTTCCCACTTACATTATGTAAAATGCAGCAAGCAGCTCTGGCTATGGTAATATTAGTCATGGAACAGTCGTCAGACAATCTACATTTTGCTTTCGGTATCCCAGAAACACACTTCACCACCATCCTGTATTGGTTCAGTGTGTAGAAAAATCTACTGTTGTTGGTATAGTTGGGGAAGATTTAAGGAGCCAAGCTGCATGGGGCAGACAGGATCACTTGGGGTCGTAATGGGGATGGAAACACCCATAACCTCGATATTGTTCAGTGGGAATCTTTTCCCATTTTTCCTGTTGTTGAGAAATGTAGAGGTGTGTGTGGTGGTGGGGGGCGGATTTGTTTGTTTATTTTAAGTCCTGGCATCATGCACTTTTCCAGGCAATGGCTTCCTTTTGGAGATGCAGTTTGGATTACATCATCACGGAAACATTTTCCTTTCTGTTATGTATTTCTAGGCTTGTGTTCAGGCACAGAATGGCCATGTGGAATCCATTAATGGCCCTGTTACAGTTTGGGGAGCCCAGCCACTTAAATTATTTGATCTCTGGCTCGTTAGCAGTCTTGATCATGTGTCCCTGTAGCGCGCAAGGTATTTATTACAATGAACTTCGCAACTAGGTTTCTATCTGGATAGTAGAAAACTAAGTTAGTCAACTTCTGCAGTGTTATGGCTGCTCACTTTTCCATAGTGAAGGAGATCTGTCATCCTAGTCATGTGATACTGCTGTATCAGGAGCAAGTTGAGTACAGATTTCTAGGGAAGTCTCCTTTGATCCTGAAGGTTCTGTAGGCACGGCTGGCTGTTTCTGGTTTTGAGAACCATTTTAGTCTGTCTGTCATCCGGACCCAAAAGCAACAGTTATGGAAGTGCATGGTCTTTGCCTGTTTGCTCACTTAGCTGTGATGAATACATTCTTTGTTGCCTGATGAGCTCTGAGAGATGTTCATCTTGGGTTCTTTGGCGGTACTGCCACACCTTTCCTTCAGACTCCTCCAGATGGCCTTTCCAAAAGGTATGCTAGAAACTTTTGTTGCTGAGCAGGAAATATCTGGTCAGAGTTTATCTTGGCCTGTTTTTTCCAAAAAGAGTTCATAAATGGTTGTCATTAGAGGACCTAGAGGCCTGTTCCAGGGAAATCAAAGCTTGACTCTTCTCCAAGGATTCCTGGTTATCCTGTGAGGGCTTGTAAAATTTCTCCCTGCTTCTAGGATTTGTGCCAAGAATTGCAGGATAGGTACCCAGAAGGTGATACAAGAGGGGATATAGGACAAGACTTCAGCAGCCTCCAATGAGAATCTGATACCGAACCAAAACATTTTGCTTAAACTTTTCCTGTGCAACCGGTTCTATTAGAATGGTTAATTTCTCTGAAGTAGATATGGCCTTAGGTTTTAAGTTCTTTTATCAGGGATTTTTCAGTATGTTTTTGTACAGGGCCCAATGTAGTAGAGACTCCATTCTCATTGGGACCTCCAGGTGGTATAATAATAGTAGAAAGAGGATGGGACAAAGTGGGAGAAACTCTAGATGTTAAAACAAATAATAATGTTAAATAGCAGTCATAAATTAGTTTAAATTTATACCCAGAACTGTAACAAAATATGGTGGAAAACACATAAGGAAAATAGATATTAAAATTCCCTAAACACTTGCAATCCCTTACGCAAATACTTAAGTATATATTATTATATTGCTTATTCAAAAACGAAATCCTACCTTAGTATGTGCGTCATGACCAAAATGACTGTCATCCCTCCACCTTCCCTAAGCTATATTTCTGTTATGGGCTGCAGACCCCTACTCACCTCCCACATATGGCATTAAGGACTCAGCCACATCCCATCCTCCACTTCTTAATCAGATACCAGCACCTTTCATCTTAACCTCTATATTTATACCAGAGATTTTTTTCAGTCTAGATTGTTTTTTGCCACATTTATTGTAGTAATTGAGCACCTTACAATTAATAGCAAACTAATACTGGCCAGGACAAACCTGCTTGTACTATCACAATCTCACTCTTGTGCTGCACTTCGGAGGAATTAATTTTTCAGAGTTCATGCATATGTGTGTATATATTATAGATCCATGGGAGACCAGTGGACTGTCTAGATCAGGGGTGAACAGTAAAAAAGTAGCGGCCTACCAGGATTAGTCCCGGGCGGGCTGCCACCACTATGCGTACCTACCCCTCTGCAGGTATTGGGCCATCGCAGCTCTCTGTGGGTATGGATCACTGTTCACAGCCAATGGGAGTGATGGGGACTGGGACACTGCTTCCTGCCACTCCCTTTGTCCATGAATGGCAATCTGCATCCAATGAGAGCAGGCATCCTACTTGCAAAGGCGCAGGTAAACGTAGAGGTGGGAGCCTGCCAGGGATTAGATCCGCCCCACTGCCTGGTATTTGCTGATCCCTGTTCTAGATTACCATCATTTTTAAGAATCAGGTGTTTGATGTATTTGCCTAAATAGGGACTTTGGTTGGTGGTTAAACGTACAAGTTCCACAGACGTTCAGTGGAATTTGTTCCCAAGTTATTTACATGCTTTTGCAAATCTCCTTTAATAATGCAACTCCAGTTGCTCAAGATTTTAAAATTTTGGTCAGAGCTTGTAATAGAATGTTGGTTTCAACTGTATGTGTGCAGCTGTGCCCATGATTATGCAACAAGACGACAGCTCTCAGTATTGTGGTTCACTAAATAAAATCTAGCACTTGTATTTTTTCCCCCCTCACTGATACAATTAAACTGCCATTTGCTGTTGGTGACAGTGCTGTTGTGTTACTTTTGAAAACACTTTGGATGCATTAGTAAGAAATAGTTAAGACAGGCTAATAAGAGCATTTCATTTTTCCCCCGTTCAGATCCAGACATTTCATGTTGAAGCACCATGCCAGACTGTGGAAGATTTAACGAATGGGGTTGTGATGGCCCAGGTGCTTCAAAAAATGTAAGAACAAATTGTTTAATGGCTTGTGGGCTTTTTGCATGCAGAACTGATCCTTTGTAAATGTGCCCAGTTACCTAAATTTAGGTATGTTTTCTTATTCAAAATGGACCAGTATCAAATAATGACTCAGCCTGCTAAACTTAGTTTGTTTTCACTCCAGTGTAACTAGCAGTTATTTGAAAATGGAGAAGATTATCTGAAAAGTACAATTCGTTTAAGGCAAAAGAAGTAACTGGTTAAAGAGTTTGTATATAAAATTTCAACTTCATTGAGAAATAAAACTTAAGAACAATACCTTTTATATCCTTTACTAAAAGGTAGGGCTGTCACGCAATTAAAAAAATTAATCACACTGTTAATAGTTGCCATTTATTTAAATATTTTTGTTTTCTACATTTTCAAATATATTGATTTAAATTACAACACAGAACAATTGGTATTTATTATTTAGGTATTTGTGCTGTAAAAAAAGGTACTTTTCAATTCATTTAATTCAAATAGAATAGTGCAATTTCTTTATCATGAAAGCTGAACTTATAAATGTATGATTATGTACAAAAATTGCATTCCAAAATTTAAAAGTGCAAAACATTAGTGTCTACAAGTCCACTCAGTCCTACTTCTTGTTCAGCCAATCACTCAGCTAAACAAGTCGGGTTACATTTGTAGGAGATAATGCTGCCCTCTTCTTGTTTACAATGTCACCTGAAAGTAAGAATAAGTGTTTGCATGGTACTGTTGTAGCCGGCATCACAAGATATTTATATGCCAGATATGCTAAAGATCCATATGTCCCTTCATGCTTCAACTACTATTACATGCTTATGAGGGGCTCTGTTCAGTAATGGTCCAAAGTACAGACAGGAGCATGTTCACTTTCATTTTCTGAGTCAGACACTACCAGCAGAAGGTTGATTTGTGATTCATGTTCTGTAGTTTCCACATCAGAGTGTTGTTCATTTAAGATTTCTGAGAGCATGCTCCACATCTTGTCCCTCAGATTTAGAAAGACACTTCAGAGTCTCAAACCATGGCTCAAGTGCTGTACCTACCTTTAGAAATCTCACTTTGGTAACTTCTTTGCGTTTTGTCTAATTGGCAGTGAAAGTGCTCTTGAAATGAATTATATGTGCTAGGTCATCATCCAAAACTGCTTTAACCTGAACTATATGGCAGAATGTGGGTAAAACAGAGTAGGAGACATACTATTTTTCCCCTAAGGAGTTCAGTCAAAAGCGTAATTAACACATACTTTTTTTAACAAGCATCATTAGTATGGAAGCATATCCTCTGGAGTGGTGGTTGAAACATGAATATTTAGCATACCTGGCATGTAAATACCTTGCAGTAACATCAACATAAGTGTCATATGAATACCTGTTCTCACTTTCAGTGGACACTAGAAACAAGAAGCGATCATCATCATCAGGGTTTGACAAGCGGCAGCGAGCCCCACTCGCCAGCTATGCGGTTTGGCACGCTGCGCATGCACTGATTGCGCTGCGGCACCATGCCAACTTAAAATCTACTCACCCCGGGCGAGTAGATTGATTATGGTTGCAGATGATGATGATCAGGGCTTGACAAATTAGTCAAACTATAGTGACTACTGCTATAGTGAACTAGGCCACACTCAACTGGCCAAATAACCATGTTGTTCAAGCTAACTAGCCACACTCAACCAGCTAAATAGTCACATGTGGCTAGCATGTTGGACACCATGGCTCTACAGTTTTACACTTGTTTTATTTTTTAATGCAGTATTTTTGTACATCTACATTTGTGAGTTCGACTTTCATGCTAACGAGATTTCATTACAGTATTTGTATGAGGTGAATTGAAAAATACCATTGTTTATCATTTTTGAGCTGCAAATAATCATGGTAATAATATAAAGTGAACACTGTATGCTTTATGTTCTGTGTTGTAACTGAAATATATTTGAAAATGTAGAAAAATATGCACAAATATTTAATAAATTTCAATTAGCATTCTTGTTTAACAGTTGATTAAAACTGACATTAATTGTAAATTTTTTGTTAATCATGTGATTTCATTGTGATTGACAGCCCTATTAAAAAGTTTGATTTCAATACAAAATAGCTTGAACAATTAACGAAAATACTGTATACATCATAACTTACATATGTTGTGATAAGTCTTGAAGTTGCTGTAATTGTCAAAATTTTAATAACTCACCATGTTGCCATGCTTTTTAATAGTGTTAGTGGGGAGTTCAGATATCACACCAGCATAGGTAATTAGTATTTCATCTGCTGGAGTTAATCCCTTCAGGTCATGAGAGTTAAACTGGCAAAGCAGCATAGGGAAACTTGATGCTTGTGTAATATAAGTTCTGCAATAAACAGAAAGCATCTGTTTCTAAGGCTGCCAATCTGACACCACTCAAAGATGTTCAATTCTTAAAAGGTTAAGTGAGGGGGAAAAACCTCTCTGTACTTGGGATTGTCATGAATGTTGGTAATAGACCTTTGATGGCATCAGCTATGGATCAAGACACTGTATACCCTAATTCAGAGTGCATCACTAGTTAGCTGGGAAAGTAGGTTTATTTTCAGTATTTATTTTCAAGTGTATCAATACTTACTTATCCTATACAGAGAATTTTCTATTTCTGTATTGAGACTAGGGGTAAGCATCTAATATGCAGTTAATTTGGAGCCGGAATTAAAGATATGGCAGTTGATTGTCCCCCCACTTTACGGTAGCCAAAGAGGGTTATCCTCTATGGCTTCTCTTGCCAGGGAGCATGATACTCCCTGGGGTACAATTTGGGGGGGGGAATTTTGGCCCACAGATCAACTCGTGTCCAGTGGGGTGAACTAGTTGGTGGCCTGGCAACTTTTAAGAAGGCTCTGTGCCCGATAGTTTCATTCTGCTTTTGAGGAAATTGTATAATTTAGGAAACCCAAATAAGCCCAACAGACATGTAAACAGGTTGAGGCCCATCCTCCACAATGCTCACCTCCCACACTGAGCCCAGAGGAAAGGGGAGTGGGGGCTGCGGCCGCCGGTATTTATAGTTTGGGCGCCTCAACAGTACTTAAATTAAAAGATTTGATACATTACCTGTGTTCATTAAATCAAAACTATTTGTAATGTCGAACGGCTCTCGTGTGATTTTAAAAAAACTCTGATATTCAAATGTTGTTTAGAGGACATTCAAGAGGATACGAAAAAGAAAACAATGAAAATATTTATACTGAGCCCAGTTGTAAACTAGCACTGTCTTACTATTCTGTGTGTCATGAAAAATAAGTCAGTGTTTTAGGCCTTAGAAAAGAAGAAACCACAACATAAATCAGATGCTATAATAACATAAATAAAGGGACTATTGCTATCTGAAGCAGAAGCCACCCTAGCAGAGTATGTTGAAGAAAGGCAATCGCTTGGGAATAAGAAATCTTGTTAGTAAACTCTGTAAGAAGTCAAGATTCTAGCTTAACTATTCTTTAATCTTGTTTTAGAACATTCATGAAAGCAAGACCATATTGTTACCTTATATAGTTTGGACATTCTTTTATCACAAAGTTATGCACATGAAAGAGAGGAGAGGGCTATACTGTATAATTTGAATAGTCATTTATCATGAATGATTTGCTTTATACTGTGTACTTCCCATACCGTCATCACTAATCAGTGGGCGATAGGATTTTTTTTCTGTTTCCACATGTTGGCCAATACATGAGGCTGAATGGTGTGCACAATTCAAAATAGGGGTCTTCAGAAATGTCTTGTATATAACAAAAAATACAATTATTGGGTGACATGGGGAGGGAAATCTCAGCAGATTTTTTAATCATATTTTTAACCTTTTCACTTCCAAGGGCAGTGTTCCCAGAAAATCCATCCTGACTTACTGTTTCCATGTACACCGGGGGTATTCATTTGCACAATGATAGTAGGTGAAATGTGTGCAACATAACATTTGCCTTTCTGTAACAGCATTTGAAATGGAAAGGTGCTTAGTGATCACTAGTGTTATCACTTTTTATTTTCCAGCTTCATTAAATGCTTGCTTTCACATCCCGTGGTTTGTAATAAAGACTAACTAAGCAATTTGTAAGGTCAGGTGATAAACCCCATATAATAATTTGGGCCCATCAAAATAGATTTTGTGGCTTTCTAAAGCCTTGTTAAGCGAATAACATTGTGGGCATGCTAGATGGAAATGTTGGAGCTACTGATATACTTAGAAATGTTTCCCAAAACTATGAGTGTCCTACTGTTGAAAAATGCTTTGGAGCAAAAGAATTGTAATGACAGCTGATTTTGAATTCTTTCAGAGAAGTCATCAGGCATTAAATCATTTAAAAAGAAAATTATAGTTGCTTCTTTTGGATTCTTTTAGATTCTCAGGTATCTGTGGCAGTAAACACAATAGCTAGTCAACACCTGTGTCTCAAAGCTTGCACATAAGTCTAGCACATTATGAGTACATCTAAGTACTCGGCAAGGTAATCAGAAAGCATTAGGCTAAACCATTTTAGAGACTATGGAGGAAAAACATTGGCTCATCAGCTATTTTAAAAATATCTATATACAATTTGAAATAGCCAGTAAAGTTTTCCTTTTGCTCCTTCAATTCAAACAGGTGCCACAGAAAGGACTCTTAGTCCAGAGGCAGGCGGGACTATGCAAGCAAAGGAGGGGGAGTCCAGGGCTGAATTCTCCAGTCCACCATTCCTCCTAGATCAGCAGCATGACTCCCACTCCTGTCCCAAGACAACCAACTAATTGAGGGAAAACTGTCGCAGGAGTAGAAATGCATGACAGGAGAAAGGTGGGTGCTAGAAGTTATTCAGAAGAGTTGTTGAGTAAAGTTAAACCAAAGATTTGAGCACTCCAGCAACATCCTTTAATTCAGTGAAGTGCAAATTGATGGTAGGAGCCAATAGATTACTTCCTGCAAATAGTTATTGTAGAGACAGTACCACAGACATGCTGTCTGGTGCTTACTCTAGTCATCTTCAGTAACA